CCGTCGGCGCGCGCGGCCGCGGCGGCGGCCGCTGCGCCCGCGCAGAGGCGGCGGGGAGCTTCGCGCGTGAGATGGCCGCTCAGCTGTGCTTGCTGCCGCTCGAGCGCGCGGCGCTCGGCCTCGTGCTGTTGGAGCCCATATTCGACGCCGCCAACGCCACGCCCATAGTCGTCGAGCACCTAGAGGTCGCTTTTGGTCAGGAGGCAACGCACACGGCCCTTGATGGTCTTCGCCCCCAGCGCCGCGCCGGCGTCGACGACGCAGCTGCGGCCGCCGCCGCCGCCGCTGCCGCCGCCGCCGCTGCCCAGGCGGGCGGCGGCGCTGAGGGCGCCAGCGCCGTGGACAGCGCCGCAGAGGCGGCCCCTTGCAGTTCGAGCAACAAGAGCAGCGGCGCCCTGGCGGTGGTTTCCAAAGGGGAAGAGGAGTCGGCGGCCTCCGATGAAGGCGCGACGGGGGGCGGCAGCGGCGCCGCCGCCGCGCTGGGGGTCACGCTCGGCGTGGCGTCGCTTGCCGTCGCCGCGCGCCTCGCGGGGCGCGTGCTGGGCGCGGGGGGCCCGGCGGGGCGCGTGCTTTTTGGGTCGTGGTGGGTGTTGGGCGCGACGGTGTCGGCTGCTGCGCTGCTGTCGGACTGGATGCTTGCGCCGTTAGCCGAGGGGGGCAGCGACAGCCAGGGGGAGGGGGAGGGGGAGGGCGATGCGGACGGCTCCGAGGACCTGTTTTGATTAGCTGCAACCGTCAGTGTTGGCGAGCGGTTGCGTTGTGGGCCGTGCCCACCATGCAATGCGGCATGTGGCGCCGGCAGGCAGTTGGTGCGCTTTCTGCAGCCTGCGCGCTTTCTGCAGCATGTGATTCTTCAGAGGTGATTGTCGAGGGCCCACCCGACGGGCGGTTGGTGGATCCCTACACCCCAGCTTGAGGCGAGCCACAAATTTGCGGTGCCACGCCCTCCAACCCCGCCAGCTTACAAAACAGCGCGCCGGCGTGGCTGCGCAGCGCCGCACCAATGTGGGCCAACAGACAGAGCCGGGCGAGCACCTACACACATAGCACCTACACACATAGCGGGCCAAAGCTGCCTGACTCGAGCCCGCAATCCCACATGTTTTCATCCTCTTCTCGTATCCTGGTTTTAAAGTGGTGGACCCGGGCTGCACGGTTCTTTGAATTGGGTGTTGCCAGAGAATCAGCTGTTGGGAACCGCAGCCCAGCGGTTGTTGCTGATGGCGTTGTCCCTTCAACACACAGGGTAACTTGAGTCATCAGATGGAAATTTCTACCTTTGGATCAAACTTACTCAGGGACTTACTGGTATTTGCATCCTCACAGCAGGGCAGGGCGTGCTAACTTCTACGGGGAAGCATTTACGCGTGATGGCGAACAAAAAAGCAACGCAAAAACCAGCTCTATGAGTGCCAGCACGTGTGGCTGATTGTGGATGCAGCGCCACGTGTAATGGGACTTAGAGCTTAGGAGATGATGTGGTGAGAACGAAGGGCAGGTGCAGCTGGACCACAAAATGCTGCGCAAACCACACCCGCTGTCAAGGACCCATTCCAAGTACACGGAAGTAAGCAATACAGCGACTTCCAAGAGTGCGCCGCCCGTCCCCAACCGCCGCCGAGCACAGAGTGCGAAGCCGTGGTTGTTCTGCTGGTCAGCAGATGACGCAGCCTGTGACGATGCGCTCAAACCAGCCGGCTTGGCTGGGCTCCACGAGCTCCACCAGCAGGCAGCCCTGTGGAATTGTGCAGGGCGGCGGCACATGCGCGAGGTGCGGCCGTGAGGCGGCTGCACAAGTGTTGCTAGGCTCTGAGGGTGTAGCGTGTTGTTGCGGTTCGCAAGCTGACATGCAGCGTGCGATGCGGGGCCGGCTGCTGCGGTGCCGTGCCGGCGGCCAGCCGCCTGGTAAGGACAGAAGGCTCCCATCGCCGCGTGTCAGCGCCTTTCTTACTAAGCTGCACCCCGGCTGACCCAAGACGGCAGCCCTCCATGGGCCCAGCACGTGCAGTCACGCGGCGGGCGCCGCCGGATCACGCCCGCTCCCGCACCTCATTCGGGACGCCCGGCGTGACGCGCAGGGAGTGCTTCGTCACGAGCTGCCTTTCTATTGCCGGCCGCAGCCTGGCGACGCCGCCCTCGCTGTGCAGGCCCTTGCCCACTATGAACACGAGCCGCGGCGCGCCGCGCGCCCGCGCCTGCCGGATGGCCCCGTCGGCGCGCGAGATGGCCTCTGAGACGTGCAGTCCGTGTAGGTCCACCTCGTCGGGGGCGCGCCCTGTGTTGTTGGCTGTGTGCATTCATGACGGCGGGTGGGGGCACGGGACGAAGGTTGAGGGTTTGGGTGGGCCGGCGCAGGGTGGGTGG